GTCCTGGCCTCGGAGCCCTATCCTTTCCCTGCAAAAGGAAATCACCGTGGGCCCCCGCCCCAGTCAGCGCCAAGGCAGAGTGCTAAGTGCTATTCGGGTTCTCCGTTCCCATCCTGGGCTGGCGGCGGGAATGGGCGGGCACCTTCCGAGCACGTATCGTGCTCCTCCTGAAGCTGTGTGCGCCCGGGCACCTCACCTGCCTCCCCCTTGCCCGGACCCTGCACACGGCACCCCAGACACAGCTGTAGCAGAACCCACATATTCCCTTGGGATGAAGGCCATGTGAGGAGGGGCCGCTAGGCCTCCGGGCGAACGGGGGTGGAGTCATCACCCACCCCAAGTTAAGGGGAAAGTCACCAAGAAAATGGTCCCTGCTCTTGGATCCTCTCGGGGGCCATGGGAGGCCAGAGGAGCATCTCCGCTGAGCAGGCAGGGAAAGGAAGCCTGGGTTGGTGGGGAGGAGGGCAGGTTCCCTCGCCAAGGCCCCAGCAGAAAGAGTAGCCAGCCCTGTCCGCCCGGTGCCCACCCATGGGTCCTGCTCCTTCTCTGATGAGCATTCCTGCTTCACGTGGCCCGTTCACCACAGGAGGTAGTTCTCCAGGCTGAGTAAGGAGAATGCTGTCTAGATTCCTAGGAAGTGGTCCCTGCCCTTCCCCAAGCCTTCAGCGTGGACAGTCTCTCCTAGACCAAGCCTCCCGCACTGGTCGGTCTGTCTGTCTCTCCCCGACACACACACCCCTCCTCTCCCTTTCAGGTAGGGCGTCCACAAGATGGCCCAAGCCCAGCTCTCCTGGCAAAGCCCCTTTTCCCCTCAGAGTCTCATTCACCTGGTAGAAAAAGCCCGTCCCGGTCCCCACAGAGCCCTCCCAGAGGCCTCCCTGCTGCTGTGTTATTTCTGTCAGTGGTGAGGGGAGAGAGGAAATGAGAAGGAACCAAGCACCAGGCAGCCCAAAGGCCTCCCGAAGCGCCTGCCTCCTGGCCCCTCCCGGGTCCGGCCGGGCCAGGGAAGCGACTCTGGCTCTCGGTTCTGAGCAAACAAACTCTGGAGCGGCAAGAAGCCGCAAGGCCCTTACCTATAATTTCCCTTTTTGCTGAGCTGCTCTTTAAAGTGGCCCAGGGTCAAGCTCTGAGCCTTCAGCATCCTCCTGTATGGAATTTCTTCTCCACAGAAAAAGTACGTGACGACCAGCTCGCTGGCCTGGAGCGCGTGCACCGCCGCCAGCTTCTTTGGCTCTTTGTGACTGAAAAATAGGATGGAACGCAACGAGTTCAGCATCCGAAGGCAGCAAGTGCTCCCGGCACACACACAGGCTCTCAAACAGTCTCCAGAGATAAAGCGGGGCTGTAGCTAGAAGCTCAAAGGGGGCTTGGGTGTGGGGGCCCCTGGATCACAGAGGCAGCCGCCTCTGGGAGCACACAGCCCACCTCCGGGTCACCTGCATGGTGCACACGGGAAGGGACAGTTTCCTTTTGGTTGTAGACACTGCTATTGTTTCCCTTGCTAGCTCCAAAAGGGGGGGGGGGTGGGGAACAGAACAGTCTCCTTCAGGATGGCACACGGGGTGCCTGCCAATGAAGACGGGAGGGGAAGCGACCACAGAGCCATGGGAATGCTGTAGAGACAAACCAGAGCATCTCCTGGGATGGCGTGGATGCCAGAGCCCCCTGGGAAGGCGAGCCCAGGCATTGTGACCTCCCCTCGTTTATTCGGAGTTTGTAGCGTGGCATTAAGAAGAAAAAAGACAGCTGGTACCCTTCAGGTCGACCAATGAAAACAAAAGGGTCCAGGGCGGTGGCTTATTCAGGACCTCAAACGTTGCTCATCGCTCAAGAGGAACACGTTAAGCCAAGAAACCTCGAATCACTGAGCCCATTTCACACCCCTGCAGATTTCTTTCTAACTGCACCAGCCTGTGAACGAACCAAGCCGCTCGGTCCACTTTGCAAGAGTGTACATTGACGACAAGGATCGTGGCCCGACTGGGGAAGGCAACCAACAGAGCAAACAAAGCAAAACAACAAACACTGTCCTCTCTCCATCTCTGCAATGGCGGAGACTCCTCTTCCTGCTCAAAGTTTCCAACTTGCTAACTTCAAGCTGAACGAAGGCAACTTTTCCATCCAGGTCTGGGGACCCCTTTTATCCACCTGCTAACGGCGTCACATCTCAGCTCTTTGATGGCGGCGTGCCCAGGAGCCCGGAGCCACCCACCTCTTCGGGAAACAACACCTGTGTACGAGCCACGGTGCGTTTCCCGGTAAAGGCCGAGTTTCCGAGATCCTGGTTTACGGCCACCTCTGCATCTGCTGGTCCTCGTGGCTAATGTTAAAATCGAGGTGATTTTACCCGACTAGAAAAAATTTCCAAAAAATCCCAACGCCAGAGAGTTGACGCCCTGAAACGTAAACCACGAGGCGGATCCCAGGAAGGTCGGGGTAAAGACACTCACTCTTCTGAAGCCAGGCTTGGGTTAGAGGAGGGCGTGGCTCCCGCCTGACCAACGGCCGAGTGGTTCCTGTCCCTCTGCTGACTGGCCGCACAGCACCTGAGGGCACACAGCCGGAGCAGAGGATTGAGAGAGAAGCCTGCTGTCCCCTGGCAAAGGGGGAGCAGACAGAAAAGGAGCTCCCCGAAGGCCCTAAAGAGACGCAGAGCCAACTTCCATCCCAATGGGGCACAGCCATCCTAGGTCCCCCGGGAGCCTGGGACTGGACACTGCCAGCCCAGGCCAAGGGCTGAGCTGTAAGTTCGCCACCAGTCACGGCTTCTTACGTGTTCATCTAACCGGCTTCACGTGATCAGGGCGGCTGTAGGGAACGGGATTTGTAAGGAATTACTGAAATTCATTCTCCTGCAAGGCCTGACTTGCCCAACAAACAGATCCTTTACCGGCTGGCTCTTCAGAACAAACAGAACTAAGAGGAACAATTTCTAGCAGGTGGGAAGGGGACTCGTTATATGGCCAGAAGCCTCCCCTCCTCCCTGAGGGGCGACGGAGACCCAGGTAGAGAGGGCAAGAGGCCCTTTTGTGAGAGGCCAGGTCCCAGCCTCTGCCTTCACCTCTGTGCTGCTTGCACTCACCGCTGCTTGGGGGGCTTGGACACCTCGGCCAGCCTGCGGCAGGCTTCCTCTAGCTGCGCCAGCGTGTTGGGTGGGGTCAGGGGAGGCATCGCGGGGTCCTGGGTGAACGGGTGGGCTCGGGGGGCAGCGCGGGGGTGCCCGTTACTGCCCCCCAGCAGGTGGTGCCGGCCGGCTCGCTCGGCGGGGGACGCGCGGGCGCACTCTAAGGGGTAGGCCCTTTTTGTGCTCTGGGCACTGAACAAGGAAGGAGAGAGAAAGCAGAAGGAAAGAAACTGGGTTAGAGAAACTGGAAAATATGACTTCAATAGAAACTTCTCTATTCTGCCTTCAAAGAGAGGAGAGAAAAAAAAAAAACCCCTACCATAACACGCACAGGGGGTGTTGCCAAAACATGGCATTTTTGTGGTCTGCTCAGTCCAACGTTTAATATTAAGGCGGCAGGAGCAAACAGTCCTATTTGTTTTCGGCCCACTGCAAAATTAGCCATCCCCACGATACCTCTGTGGTGGCTGCCCGTGACCCCCGCCGCGGCCGCGGTGTTTACCTATGGGGCTTGGGCTTGCTCTGCCGCTCACTCTCCAGCATCCACTGCCAGACATCCTGCGACCTGTCTCCTTCCTCCCCGGGCAGCTGCAGGGCCCCGGGTCCGCCTGGGGCGCCTCCTTCCCTGGCTGGCAGGGCCGGGCCCGGCTCCACGCTTTTCCCGGTCCGTCTGGGCGGGGTACCACCTCTGCTGCTGCGGGGAACCAAGAACCACACCCATCCCAGGGGCCCCGTCACACCTCTGGGACCCCTCGAACCGGCGGGTTCAGCGGGTTGGGGGAGGGGGGGGCAGGGGGACACCAAAGACCCCGCCCCCCGCGCCTCCCTCCCGGAAGCCAAGTGCCCGTGACCTCCGACCCCCACCGGGAAGCTCCAGAATCGCCAGTCTGCCCTCCACACTTACCCGAACTGCTCGGCCGGCACGGGCTCCAGAGCCCTGGGGTGGCTCTTGCACTTCGAGTAGCAGTAATACTCGGAGCCCCCCGGGCAGAAGCAGCGCACCCTCTGTGCGGCCTCCGCCTCGATCTCCTCCTTGGTCTTGGGGAGGGCGTGGTGGTGGATGTAGTGGTGGTGGACGTGCTTCGTCGTCTGCTTGGTCACGAAGCCCTTGGCTCCCAGGAGGGGGCAACCGGCCTGCGAGGCGGCCACGGGGGGCAACTTGCCCCCGGGCGGGAGGAGGGGGTGGTGCTGCTGGTGGTGGTGGTGGTGGTCGGGGGAACGGGAGCGGGGGCTGTAGCGGCCCACGCCCGGCGACTGGCAGCCGGGGGTCTTGAGGACCCTGGACAGGTGGTCGTCCAGAATAGTCTGCGGGTCCTCCTCGTAGCTGCCTGAGGGCAGGAGGGAGAGGGGGTGCGGGGTGGGGCCCCCCTCCCTGGAGCTCAGCGCTAGCTCAGAGGCCTCCTTCTCTTCATCCTGGAGGGAAAGGCAGCACAAGGGTGGGGCGGGGCGGGGTGGGGCGGGGCGGGGGGGGGGGCGGTTTAAGCGGACAAGCAAGCAGCAGGGAACGGCCAAGTCTCCAGTGGGCCGGGGGAGGGGCGGGGCCACGGCTGCGCAGGGGGGAGGGGCGGGGCCACGGCACAGAGGTGGGGCCGCAGCAAAGGCACCTGCCAGCCAGCCAGCTAGCCCCAGTGTGGGCGGTGGGCGGTGGGCGGTGGGCGGTGGGCGGTGGGCGGTGGGGGTGGGGGCGGGGAGAGGGACAGGGCCCAGCGCTACCTCTCGGATCTGCTGCAGGCGCTCCTCCAGGCTGTGCCGGCTCTCCAGCTCCAGCTTCAGCTTCTCCAGCCTGGAGATGAGCTCGGCCGCAAAGGTGGCGGGCTCCACGGGGGTCATCTCCTTGGGCAGGCGGTGGGTTCTCTACGGGGTGCGGGGAGGGGAGACACGACGCACGTTCAGGAGGGCCGGCACGCGGCGCCCGCCGGAGCTTCCCGGGCGCGGTGGCCACGGCCACGGCCACGGCCGCACGGGCGGGCGGAGAGCGGCAGGCGCGGCGCCCCGGCTGCTCCGGAGCTTTATGCGCCGGCGCCGCGACCTCATGGAGAGCCATGGTCCCCACCAGCGTTTGCCTTGGGCAGGAGCAGTTGGTCGCACTCCGAGAGGCCCCGCTTGTTCTCTCTGTAGTACAACCAGCCCATCAGTAGCTACTCTGAAGTAGAAAATCTTCAAAGACTGTTGTCAAACATCAAAAAAAAAAAAAAAAAAAAGGCAGCCCTCTGAGGTGGGGAGGGGAGAGGGACAACTCAAGGAATAAAAAGTAGAGTCTAAACAGAAAGGGAGCTGGAAATTAAAAAAAAAAATAATAATAAGATTGGAAGGAGGGAGGGGGTGGGGGAGGGAGAAAAGGGGGGAAAAAAGGGAGTCACACGGCCGGATCAGAAGAAGTGGTAATTTATTTCCTGGCCGCACACTGCGCACCTTTGAGGTGGTGTTGTCTCAACAGTGTCCTAGATCTCCCTGGTTCTCTCCACCCCTCCTCCCCGTCTCTTTGTACAGAAAATGAAGAAAGATGCTGCGGGCTAGTAGCAGAACACTGCTGAGCTTGGCTGCCTGAAGCTGATCTATCAAGGGAAAAGGGAACATCTCCAAATCAAGTGCAGAATATAAAAAGGCATCGAGGATGCCTGCCAAGAGCAGCAAACAGAGAACTCCCACCGCCCGGCTCTCTGTCCTCCTGTCCTCCCGCCACCCCCTCCCCTGGCTTGTCTGCCTCCCTCTTCCTCACTCCCCTCTTGCTCTGCCCTTTGCTTTAGGGTAGGCGGGGGCATCGGAGAGCCAACCTGCGAAAGCCGGCTTTTCCCTGCAGAGAGCAGGCCTCACCACCGTGACCACTTAGCCACAGAACGGAGTGGGGGAAAGAGAAGGCCCCCCAACCCCAACCCCCACTCCCACCCCCTGTAGGAGCCGGCCCTTCTCATGCAGGCTGGCTCCGCGCAGCCCCGATCAAAGCGCTGCCTTGTGGAGAAAGTCGATTTGCGCACCCCAGGACCAAATCATCTAATTTACCAGCTTGGGCCACAGAACTTTTCTTTATTAACACACGTTCGCCCCCTGCATCCCCCAACGCCCAGCCGAAAAAATCTGTATCATCAATACTGTTGTGTTTGGGGGGTAATATTACTGAGGAGGGGAGGGGGATGCTGAAGGTCCCCAGAAAAGCATCCTAACAGGCCAATTTTAGGACAAAGTCTGCCCCGTGGGAAGGGCTTTTGGAGAGGAGTTGCTCTAGCAACTAACACCCCATGCACTAATGCAATGTGGGATTAGCAATGCGACGTGTTAATTTTCTGAATGCAACCTAACTGATGAACCAACTGAATTCTTAGAAGCCGGCAGAAAGGATTCACAGACAGAGATGCCGCTCAAAGGCGGGCAACTCTCTTCCCCTGCCCAGGGAGCAGTTTTCTTGCAGTCTGGGTCTCAGCGGATTGCATGAGGCTTCTGAGGCTTTGCAGAGTACAGGGGGGGCCACATGCTGGCTGCCCTCCACGACGTGGAAACAGATGGGGGAGAGGCCAGGAAAGCATCTTCACGCTTTGGTGGCCTCTCACATCAGTCGCAGGGAGGAACTGTTTATGAGATCCTTGCTTCCAAACACTTCACTCGTTCTGCATTCATTAGGTGCAGATCCAACTGCAGGTACTAAACCAAGTTCTGGGGTTGGGAACAGACAGGACAGAACAGCTGCCCTCCAGGGCTTGGGAAGTCAACAGGAGAAATGGCCAAGTACATAGATGAATGGAGGACCGAAACGATCGAGCTGTACCGTCAACACGAGGAGAATGTCTCAGGGACGGGATTTTCCTTCTGCAGGAGGCAGAGATTTCTCTAGTCTCCTCATTCACGGATTCAGTCAACACATCTTAGTCAACACCCGTTACGTGCCAGGCGCTGTTCTAGTCTCTGTGGACAGGGCTTTCAACATCACAGACACAACTCCCTGCCCTCAGGGGACTTCCATTCTAGCGGGAACCCGATGAGAAGCATGGACTAACTCCTACCATTTCTTGGTTTCTGGAAAAGCACTGGTATGGTTTTCTCATGGAGAATTTTCTTTTTTGAATTGAGAAAACGTAGAAGTTCAAGTAGGTCATCTTGAGCTCTACTCTGCTCAGCATCACACCTCAAGGAAGCATGTAACCCTCTTGCCTGGCTCCTCCCTTCCCCTTCCCCTAGTGGACCACCCCCAGACCCTGCTCCTCCTCTTACCCTAGACCTCCCTCCTTCCACCTCCCATCCCTTTTCTTCAAGACTCAACACGGCTGAAAACATCTGCCTTCCCCACCAGACTGTACTCACCGGGAAATGAGGTAGAGACACTTGGCCATTGGCCTTCACACTGCGATGCATTTCTCTCTGGAGCTGTTTCTTACTCCCCACACGATAAGGAGGGATTCCATCTCTAAGGGAAGGGAAAAGACAGAAGCCACAGGCTCACGAGGATGCTTTCAGGATGTGGGCTGATTCACAAGCCATTCTGAGATCCCACCGGAGGTCAGAGCCACCCACCTCCATGCAAGTGTACCACCGTCCTGGGCGCCATGGCTGTTCCCAAGGTTGGATTGAAAGATCAATCCAAGATCGAACTGCCAAACTCCCTCTCAGGTTCAGGATCGTTGACTTGGAAAGAGCTTGGTAAAGCTCATCTCTCAAGCTCTGCCTTCGAACGGATTACATTCCGGCCAGCCCAAAGTAAAGGCTCCCCTGTTTTATTTTACAGGCGTCCCAAGCAGGAGAATCTAAGGCCCCTTCGGTCCTCCCAACCGTCTGTCGTACTGCCCCAAATCAGGAAACCAGGGCCTTATGGAGCCCACCAGGGCAAAATATTGTAAGAAGAGGGACCACGCCCGCAGAAGACTGAGCAAGACTGAGCCAGGCATTAATGAAGGTGTGTGTAATTCTCCAACAGTCAAGCTCCCGACTGTTTCCAAATTTCTTCATTTTATAAATCACCACAAGAGGGGCGCCTGGGTGGCTCAGTCGGTTAAGCGTCCGACTTCAGCTCAGGTCATGATCTCGCGGTCTGTGAGTTCAAGCCCTGCATCGGGCTCTGTGCTGACAGCTCAGAGCCCGGAGCCTGTTTCGGATTCTGTGTCTCCCTCTCTCTCTGACCCTCCCCCGTTCATGCTCTGTCTCTCTCTGTCTCAAAAATAAATAAATGTTAAAAAAATTAAAAAAAAAAAAAATCACCACAAGAGTATCTTTGGGCTCCTTCCTTCCCTCAGCTCCAAACCCTCCCACCCCCAAACTAAGGAAGTGCCAAGGACACACGATTAATGTGGGCATAAAGAGAAAGCCCCTACTATGTGGCATTCTGTGCAATTCGTTCAAATGTTTGAGTACCTACTACGTGTCAGACCTTGTTCCAGGCACTGGGTGAGACAGCAGTGAAGGAAGGGGACAAAAATGCAGACAATTGCCCTCACAAGGCTTAAGGTCTAATGGGTGGCAGGCAAGAAGCAAAAATACAAAAACAAAGTCTACAGCAGCTGAGAAAGTGGTATGCACTAGGACAAAATACAGGGCAGGAAATGGGAAGAAAGGATGCGGTGGGGGGTGAGGGAGAGTTCCGATGGAGTTCTCGCAGTGAGGGTGACCTTTGAGCAAAGACCTGAAGGCAGGATGAGCCCCTATGTCCTTCATCTTTTAAAGCAAGTGGACTTAAGAAAAGCCTCCACCCCGGCTAGTCTGCACTAAAACATGACTTGGCACTGGTAGGATTTCTTTTAAAAAGAAATTTGAGCTTGGAAGTCGTCAAACGCTCAAGGTGTGACTACTTTCCCATTGCCGTCCCTTCTGGAGGCCACTTATTTACAAAAGCACCAGGGTTCCAACATTCCCATACTGAATCATACTTGGAGGCTGTAAACATCGAGATTAGGTAGTTGGTTATTTCCCCTTTCCCGGCGTTTTGTTCATCACAGGGTGGAAGGAAGAAAAACATCTGGGCTCATCAGCAGTGGGTGAAAGTCAGCAATGCCTAAAAATACCCGGGAGCACACGGGGGCAACTGGTTGACCTCTAGCTCCTCATGTGTAATGCCCTAAAATTCCAAGTGGCTGAAATTTCCAGAAGTCTGTTGACCTAGGCCAGATCACAGGGCCACCACCACGGGGATGATACAGATCGACCACGGTAGGTCAATACATCAATGAGGTATGTCAGCCCAACTCTGGCTAGGAATTAGCACGTGAAGGAGCCTTGTACTGAGGACACAAGGGGAGAAACAGGATTAATCTAAAGCAAGGACATACACACAGGGTGAGCCCCGTCCCAGAGAAAGGCCAAGAGGGCCAGAGACAGCACGCCAGTTGACCAGCGCAGGTTGAGAGTCCCAGACATCTTCTCACTCACTTGACCGGGCCCTGGAAGGCCAGGCGGGATAAAAGGTTCTAGGTTCAGAAACTTACTGAACCACCTAGAATGTATTCACCGGAACTCCATGTTTTCACTATGGGATCACCTCCGAGACGGGAGAAAACTGGGTGCTCACGAGCTGAGCTTGACCAGCTGTTACTGGCTTGGCCAGTAACCAGATTCTACACCAGGGGTCTGACTCTAACTCGAGGCTGCCAGCCCCCACGTACCGGTTCCCACTGTAGGTCAGACACACGTGACGTCTAATCCGACTGTATTCTCACAAAATCCCAAATTCACCAAGTTTTAAGATGGTCAGGGACTCTCTGCAGCTCTCCTAGAGTCAGTCAGTAGCAGTTAGACCCAGGGTACAAATCTGAGCCACTGCTGGGCCCCAGAACAGGTGTCCTTAACTCTGCAACCCACCCTCCCGCCCCACCTGGAGGTGCCAAGCTTCCTGATGGCCCATTCCTTAAGCCCTGTGAAGTCACGTGACATTCTGAAGGGGCGAATGGAAGATGTGGGGAACATTCTGGAACATCCTACCCCACCACTTAGCACTCACTGGCTACGGGGCATGCCAGGTGGTTCCCAAGGCACAGTGAAGATCCCCTTGTCTCTTACCTAACGTTCCTTGTGGGGTGGGCGTGACCACGGGGGTCCCCTAGATTGCATCTCACATTGGTATAACCAACTTCTACTGCCCCAGGGCTGCAAGACAAGGTCCCTGCCTTTCTCTCCTGACCAGCAACTCCTCTGGGGACTTAATAAGGATAGATGGCCTCTGCCCCAGGCCTCCTTCCTGACAATGTCGGGGGGAAGGAATCAAGCACCCCCCAGACTTTGCCGTGACACAGGCAAGGCTTCAAGAGTCCTGGAGGAGGTCCCCATCCACCTCCTCCGAGACTCTGTCCTCGGGTGCCAGCTAGTAGCCTCTGCTCTTCCCCTGTCCACACAGATGCAAATTAGTGGGCTCTTTTATACCTCTTTTGCTCCTTCCATACAGGACAGAAGGAAGAAGAGAACTGGAGGAAGTACGTAGAGCTTCTCTGCGGGGGAAGCAGGTCCCTGGCCAATCGAAGGCAAGAGGAACAAATGATTCCAGCACCCCCACCTCCCAACCAATGCACGCCCCCACCACACCCGGGGCAGATGCCAACAGCGGGACAGGAAACTCGTGACCAGGGCAGACAAGAGACGTCAACTTGTAGAGGCTCAGAGGCGTAACCGGTGCCTTCACGGAAATGGCGCTTTACCTCCCCACCAGCCAAGAGTCCTCTTCCAAAACAGCCGCTCATTCCAGAAGAGGGCCACTCTTCTTTGTGCTCAGGCCCTAAAAGTCTACGATCCATTTCCTGGATGCTCAACGCTGCGAGCTCAAGAGTGTCCGAGTTTTGGTCCCTATACCATCTCCTTTGATTATGAGCCTTTTAGCTAACCAGCCCGCTGCTGGGCCCAGCTGTTTCTGGGGAGCAGTGGTTTTGAAGTGTGGGCTCCACTTAGCTGCCATTTAAGCCGAGCCAACTAGCTTAGCCTTTTGACTCCGCCGTGCCCCGCCTAACCCAAGTGTCGTCCTCCCGAGGCCTCGCCATATACGACTCAGTCGTACACGCGTCCACTTGCATTCCCATTTGGCAACCACTCAGAAGGCAGCCTCTGATCGCAGCCAACATCAAAAGCCTGGTTTGTAAGATAAGATAATATTTGAAGTTCACTCAGATGCTTTCCCTGGTGTCCAAAGCAAACCCATAAATAAGATACAAGGAAATAAAAATAAATAAGGAAAAGAACCTGAGCCACCCCTCTGCATGAAACGCGAGGGAAGCATCTTGCGCTGGTTCGGTGACACCCTGGGCGGAAGCTAATGTCGAGCCGATCCCGACTGTTAGAGAGGGCTGCTCTGCGCAAACAGCCAAGACAGATGCCCTCACGCTGCAGACGAAGCTTCCACGCTTCCGGGCAGCCTCTAACACAGAAGCTGCGCTTAGGCGGCAAAGAACCTGCTGCTGGTGATGTTTTCCGCCTCCGCCCACCCCCACGGGCTGCATCTCCCCAGGCCTGATGCCCTAGAACGGTCCCCACAATCCTCTGTGCCCAACACTCCAAGGACTGGGCTTTAGGACTTCGCTGGCAGTCTGGCAGCTAACTTCCCCCCCAAAAAAAAGAAAAAGAAAAGGAAAAGAAAAGAAAAGCAAGCAAGCAAGCTATTTCTTCTGAGAATGCAGGTTTCAGAGTAACAGGCTCATAAAACAGCCTTCTCAGAGGCCGACCATGAAGACCCAATCCCCAGCCATCTTTAACAGGGCTTTCTACTTAGCAGGAAAACAGAAGTCAGCAGTGGGCTGTAGGAGAAGGCAATGATTTCTTTGGAGCCCCTGCCAGCTCTGTACCTGTGGGCCCTG